CAGCAAAATTGATTTATACCGATGATGACAGAAGACTAACGGTGGAAATAATGGACAATAATATGAAAACACTCCTGATTACAATCTATGCTCTGAATGAAAAACAAGAAGAATTCTACAAAAAATTACATATGAAAATAATTGAACTGGACTATGCTAATATAGTTATGATGGGAGATTTTAATGGAATTGTAGACAATAAATTGGATTATACAGCACAGAAAACAATAAAGCTAAGCAGAACTATTTTGAAGACGCAAACAAACCAGGCAGATGGCTAGCATATAAATTGAAAAAGGAAAGAGACTTTAGAAGAATAAATCAATTGATAAATGAACAAGGACATGTATGCTATGGAAATGCGGAGAAGAAAAAAATTATTCAAGATTACTATGGAAAACTGTACCATCAAGAGAATGTTCAGGAAGAAAGAATTCAATAATACTTACAGGAAGCAAATTTGCCTCAGATACCCAAAGATATTGAAATAATGTTAGAAAGTAACATAACAATGATGGAATTAACAGAAGCTTTAAAAAAGCAAAACATTGGGAAAGCACCAGGTCCGGACAGTTTGCCAGTGAAATTTTATAAGACATTCCAGGACACATTGAATCTTCACTTATTAGAAGTTATGAAGTTATGACAAAGAAGAGAATACCCAAAACATGGTCAGAAGCATATATCACAATTGTACTGAAAGAGGACACAGACCCACAGCAAGTTAAAAACTACAGACCTATCTCACTATTAAATTCAGATTATAAAATTTTTGCTTCAATTCTGGCAGAAAGACTGAAAAGATACTTAAACAATTTTATTCATCCTGATCAAAAGGGATTTCTGCCAAAGAGACAGATGAAAGATAATATGAAAATAATTTAAGATAAACTGGAATACTATGAGGCACATCCTGAAAAACAAATGGCTCTGATGTTTTTAGATGCACAAAAAGCCTTTGATAATGTGAATTGGCGTTTTATGCTGTTACAGTTGAACCAAATGGGCTTTGGTAAAAAAAATTATTCATGCCATCGAAATGATATATCATAAACAAACTGCAAAGGTTATGATATATGGAGAGTTAACACACTTTATAGATATAAGAAAGGGGACTAGACAAGGCTGTCCAGTGTCGCCTCTATTGTTTCTGTTAACACTGGAAGTGCTGAATACGAACAGAGAAGAAAAAGAAATAAAAGAGATGAAAATTAAAAAAGAAGATTATAAACTACAAGCTTTTGCAGATGACCTGGTATTTACAATATATTAGAGGATCCATTGAAGTCAGCACCTAAACTGGTAGAAAAGCTAGAAGAGTATGGGAAAGTAGCAGGTTTGAAAATAAATAAAGATAAAACAAAGATTTTAGCAAAGAATATGTTAGTAAGACGAAAGAAAGAATTGGAGGAAGTTTCCAGGTCACAAACAAGGTTAAGTATTTAGGGATACATATAACATTGTAGCACACTTAAGGAGGACAATTATCTCAAACTTAAACAACAGATTGCAGCAGACTTGATAAAATGGGAAATTTTACAATTATCACTGATTGGGAGAATATCTACAATTAAGATGAATGTATTGCCTAGAATCTTATACTTATTCCAGGCAATTCCAATCAGATTAGGGAAAGAGGAGGATTTGCTTTGCCCAACTGGGAATTATACTACCAAGCGATGAGTATGATGTGGGTAAAGGAGTGGATAACACTAAGGAATACTCGACTTTTGAATTTAGAAGGACATGACTTGCTGTTGGGGTGGCATTTTAGAAGACATTATATTTGAGAAGCATTGTTTCTAAACTGGGAGAAGATAAAAAAGCAATATTATTTAAAAATTCCACTATGGTTATCTACTATTGAAGCTTTTTCCTATCCAATAATATATAAAAAGGAACAAACAGTTAGATATGGGTGAGATATTGAATGAAAAGAGTGAACTATGCAAGCATTGGAAGAATAAGGTGTAAAAATGAATTGGTTTTCATATTTGCAAATACAATCTAGATTTGATAGAGATGTTACAACAGAAGGTATCTATGATAAGTTGACTGATTTAGATAAAATTTTGACAGGTACTGATGAAAAAATAATCAAAAAACTTTATGGACATTTGCTAGAGTTTAAATTAGAGGAAGAACAAGTAAAAGAAACAATGACTGCGTGGGGGGAAAATTTGGCATATGGAATTGACTTAGATAAATGGCAAAAAATGGTCTCAAAATTATAAAATGACAATGTCAACTGCATATAAAGAAAATTTATATAAGATGTTTTACAGGTGGCACTTACCCCAATGAGAATTGTGAGGATCTTCAAGAATAAATTGGATAAAAGTTGGAAATGTCATCAGATACCTGGTTTATATTACCACATGTGGTGGACATGCTCGGATGCAAAAAGATATTGGACTATAATCCACACATGGTTGGAAAATATGACAAAACAACACATAGACTTTAAACCTGAGATACTTTTATTAGGAATTATACCAGAAATATATTGTAAAGAATTGAAATATTTGATTGTAAATGTTTTAACAGCAGCTAGAATTGTATTTGCTAAGAATTGGAAAAATGAAAAAATACCTATACAGGAGGAAATTATTAAGAAAATCATGGACTGTGCTGAAATGATTAAATTGACATTTGAAATTAGAGAACAAGAGGATAAACAATTTTATATGATATGGGATTTATTTTATCAATGGTTAAATAAAAAGACCTGGTAAAGAAATAGATTAGTAAGCCTTACAATAAAAGTTAATAGATTGATATAGAATACAATATAAAATATATAACCATTGGATGAATGTATAAGATTAAATCATAATGAAAATTAGAATATCTCATATAAAATGATGGAAAAATAGTCAAATGAATATTTAATAATTGATATTATATAAATACAAGCTAGATCGATAAGGTGAGAATTTATATAACTTGTGAGTAATGGTAAAAAAAGGATAGCACAAAAGATTGTAACCAACTGACACACTGTATGTATATAATTGAAAGAGGGTTTTATGTTTTTATGTTTTGTTTGTATGTTTATTGTAAAAATAAAAACTTTGTTTTTTTAAAAAAAGAGTGAATGTAGGGCATGTGAGAATAATAGCATAAGCAATAGAATATGACTGCCACAAAATTCCAAAGTGTTATTATTACATAAACCAAACACAGCAATCCACAATTACTGTGAATCAAAGAAGTAGATGTGATTTCTGAAATATTTAAATGATCAACAGGTTGGGTTTCAGAGACAAGAGAGATACAGTATGTTTTTCTTAGGCTGATCCTCACTGAAAGGATGATGATTTACAGATTTACAGATAATCAGAGTTGGAAGGGACCTTGTAGGTCATCTAGTCCAACACCCCGCCCAAGCGGGAGACCCTACACCATTTCTGACAAATGGCAGTCCAATCTCTTCTTGAAAGTCTCAACTGATGGCGCTCCCACAACTTCTGAGCTGTTCCATTGGTTGATTGTTCTCACTGTCAGAAAGTTTCTCCTTGTTTCCAGGTTAAATCTCTCCTTGTTCAGTTTCCATCCATTATTCCTTGTTGGCCTACAGGAGCCTGAGAAAATAGCTTGACCCTTTCCTCCCTGTGGCAGCCCCTCAAATATTGGAAGACCGCTATCATGTCTCCCCTGGTTCTTCTCTTTACTAGACTAGCCAAGCCCATTTCCTGCAACCGTTCGTTGTATGTTTTAACCTCCAGTCCCCTAATCATCCTGGTTGCTCTTCTCTGCACTTTTTCTAGAGTCTCAACATCTTTTTTATAATGTGGTGACCAAAACTGGATGCAGTACTCTAGGTGTAGTCTTAATAAGGCTTTATAGAGTGGTATTAGTACTTCCCTTGATCTTGACTGTATCCCTCTGTTAAAACAACTTAAGATTACATTAGCTTTTTTGGCTGCTGCTGCACACTGCTGGCTCATATTTAGCTGGTTGTCCACTAAGACTCCAAGATCCCTCTCACAGTTACTGCTATTGAGCCTGGTTTCACCCAGTCTATATGTGTACTTTTGGTTTTTCTTGCCTAAGTGTAGGACTTTACTTTTCTCTATATTGAATTTCATTTTATTAGATATGGCCCAGTGTTCTAGTCTGTCAAGATCCATCTTCTTGGGTGTTAGCTATTCCTGCCAGTTTAGTATCATCTGCATTTGGTAAATTCCCCTTCTATTCCCTCATCTAAGTCATTCATGAAAATATTGAAGAGTACTGGGCCTAAGACGGAACCTTGTGGCACCCCACTGCTTACTTCCCTCCATGTAGACTTAGACCCATTAAGGACTACTCATTGAGTATGGTTTTTCAGCCAGTTGCGAATCCATCTAGTGGTGGTGCTATCTATTCCACTTTTTTTCTAGCTTACTAAGAAGTAGGTTGTGGTCTACTTTATCAAATGCCTTGCTGAAATCTAAATATATTATGTCCACAGTATTTTGCTGGTCTACTACTTTAATCACTGTGTTGAAGAATGAAATAAGATTGGTTTGGCATGATCTTTTTTTAACAAATCCGTGCTGACTGCTAGTTATTACTTTACTTCTTTCTAGATGTTGGCAGATCTGTTTTTTTATTATCTTTTCCAGTATCTTCCCGGGTAGAGTTTAGTTTCCAATATATTTGAAATGATTTATAAAAATTATCAATAGCTATTTTATCTCTCTCTCTTTTCACCAATCTCAACCCTTTGATCTTCATATTAACAACATACTCACTCACCTACCCACACACAGACATACTGTATACATGGATATGGATACTGAATGAAAAAAATCACTGGAAAAAAGTCAGAAGAAACATTTGAGGATATTTGAATTGTAAAGTTCAAGAAGTGAGACAAAGCCAAGGAAGAAGTTAATGCTATTTTAAATAAGATATTTTTTTAAAAATTGATGTCATTCAAAAGTATACGCTAAAATAAATAAAATGCAATGTACAGCAATAAGAACTGGGTAGCTTTTCTGTTCTTAACTTACCAACAGTGGGTTCACCATCTGTCAACAAAATGATCATTGAAATGCTTTTTTCTGGCAATAATTCCTCATAGGTGGCTTGATTCAGAGAATTAATGGCTGTCAAAACAGCTTCATTAATATTTGTTCCTGAAATAGGAAGAATTGTAACTATGAATACGCTAGCAGTGCTGGTATTGTTCTAAAAACATGGAGAGCAAATTTCAAGGCATTTGAAGAAATTTATTTAATCAGATGCAGTTTTAAGTCTCCTTGATGATGAAATAAATACAAGTAAATAAAGGCACTTTGACACTATTTCTACTATCTAGTCATTCAAAAGCAAAATTTCCCGACTACCACCTTCAATTACAATTGAACCACCCAATCTGTGCATTCCAGAGAAAAGATTACAATTGAACCACCCAATCTGTGCATTCCAGAGAAAAGATTGGTGATCTCTTAATTTTGTAAAGTTGATGCTTCATAAATGCTCCTTTTCAATGGCAACATTTATACTATGGTATTGTTTCCCAGCAGAAATCAAATCGACCCTGTTTTTAGTCTTCTGGAAATTTTTAACAACTGTGGTATTCCAGAAGGCTTGTAGTAAATGTTAGGATGCCAGTGGTGTTATTTATTTTGGTTATTCAACATCTAAATTTAATGTGGATGTTTTGGTTTTATGCTTCTTTTTGTTTGCCTTTAATTGCTTTAACTATTAAGAGTCTTAGATTATTTATTCATTTATAAGTGACATTTATACATGTCACAGGCAAATATATGTGATTTGAAGCCAATCAATGTTTCTCAATTGCCACTAGTCCCAAAATATTATGAATGCCTTCAGGCTGCATAAGATGACCAATCAGTCAATGCAAAAGTCAGTATCAGTGCCTATCCTGGCTCCTTCTCTATATTTTTATGTCAAGTTGTGTACATTATTTTTCCTCAGCTCTGAACACCTGCTAGAGAAAGAGCTGCAAAAGTACAAAAATCATCATCTCTTCTGGTGGGTTTTTTTCCCCCTAAAATATCTTCAAAGTAATAGCATATTGGTAATATAATACATTGGGCCTGTTCCAGGAAGAGTTGAAAGTTAAATTCATAGTCCTGGGAAATGGAAAATACCAGCTGCCAACTTTTTAGAGCTTCAGATTCCAAAGGGAAATTTGTTTAATTAAAATTGAATGTACCCCAGCTAAGACCAATAAACAGCTGATGAGCAGAGATGACAATGTGGCATCCCATTGGTATGGTGCTGATCTGAAAGTTCTTATATGGGATTGCCATAACTTACACAATTAGAAATCTTTGGTTTCAAATCAGGAGAATTGCTAAGGCAATAGTAATACCTTCCATTTTCATAATAATAAGTTCATAATAATAACTTCATCTGCAAAGAACTAACTTTGTTGACCTCTCAAAACAAATATAAAATCAAAGAAAAATCAAATACATGGAGGAATGAGCATTATTATTTTTAATAGTAGTATTATAGATCTTTATGTGGAGTCCCTAGTGCTCTCTGAGCTTTTGGGGAAAATGAATTTTTTGAGCTTTAAAAAAAATACCTGAGCTGAGATTTTTATTCAGTGATCGATAGATGATGGATAGACAGACACATAGATAAATGTCAACTGAAGGGAGCAAATATGACAATAGTAATAGCACTTAGATTTATATAGCATCCCAGAGTGCTTTACTGCATTCTCTAGGTAGTTTACAATGTCAGCATATATTGGTCCCAACAATCTGGCTCCCCATTTTATCAACCTTGGAAGAATCGAAATCCAGACTGTGGACAGGTACAATACTGCATTCTAACCACTGCCCTGCCAGGGCTTCTAATATACCTAATACTCCTGTCTCCATTTTTTTCGCAAAACAACAACCATCATTGTTATTAATGTAATCTAAAATACCTTGAACAATGTTGAATATAAGAAGGAAAAAATAATTATTTGATGTTTTTAACAACAAAAACGTCAAGTAATTATGTAAAAAACTGGAATCAAGAAGGTTTGGATATCAGTTCCAGTGAACTCCTCATTAAACCACTATTGCAAAGATGGACAAGGATGGACTTCTTAGTCTTCATACTGACCTCCTTGCGCACGAATGGTTTTAACATACTGTTTAGCTGATTCCACATTCTCTTTGCTGGCTTGCAACAAGGTGGGCTTCCACTTTGAACTACTCCCACTAAAGACAATTAAATTAAAATGGTCTTTAGGATTCAGATCTTCCAAAATCTTTTCCAAGGCTTCTTTAGTCTATAATAAAGAGTAAAACAATGCACGGTTAAATTCTGTAACCTAAAGCTAGCATTTTGACATCTATTAGAATAAGTGAAAATATATATACACAGAACCTTCATGTGTACACAGAACCTTCATTTTTCCCTTAATATAAATTAAAAAAAACATAGGAGGATATATTTTATAATTACAATGTTTGCCTTTGATAAAACAAAGGGAGTTGTTAATGGTTTCCACATAGGATGGACTATTTAACTAACTTCAAAGGGTAATTATTCCACAGCTCACTTTAAAGCTTTTAGTCAGTTGCTCAATTATTTGTTTGCTAGATTTATATTTCACTTTTCCTCCTCAATCTCAAGTCATTTTATGAGAACAGCCCTGTGAGGTAGGTTAGTTAAGAGAAAATGACTAACCCCAAAATGACTGGAACAGAGAAAGAACAAGCCAACATATGTATCTTGGCAATAATAATTCACTTAAAAGTAACGATATATATAAAGCCAACAAGGAAATAAATTTCAACAATAGAAAGATGGGAAGAAGTCCTGTTTATTCTGACTCTAGTCTAGTGCATCACTGCTCTTTTCTGATTCTCAAGAATCAACTTCCTCTCTCTATAAAAGAGAGAGGATGTTGAGAATACCTGAGGCTGGCTTGCTGAAACAAAATAATTTTAATTGGAATTAAACTTGGCATACAACAAAAACTATCAGTAGACTTCAAGAAAAGGCTCTGTTTTGTGAGAAATTACCTGCCGAATTTTATTGCCAATCATGGACCCACTTTTATCTATAACAAAGATGATATTTTTGGGAAATACTGGCATTTCACTGGGTGCAAAATAATGGACAAAATATCCATTCACGATCTGAAATGAACAAAATATGTTATTTTAATATGTTGCAGATATGTATTTTGATATACTGGAAGATAAAGAAACTAAAATTAGGATAATTTTAAATAAGGATAATGGGTCAAAAATACTTTTATGTATGTATTTATTTAATTTATACACTGCCCATCTCACCAATTGGGTGAGTCTGAAAATTTGGTTGAAGAAATGCATTCTGTAAGTCATTCAGCTCTTCCAAGCATACATTAGTTTACTGTATGAAAAGTACTGAAGTCTGAAACCAAACCTTTAGCCAAGGACTTCTACTTTAACAAAATATAAATGTAAATGTATTCCTAACTATGGATGCATAAATTCAGTTCAATAAAATATGTATCCTGAATGGAAATGACCTTTTGTACGTTTATTGATAGGCAATAGAAATCCATTTTCCACAGGGAGCAGACCAACACAGTGTGTGCTTTTTCTCATAGGATATAAGTTCCCTGCTGTGGAATTGCATTGCTGTCCACTGGCAGGTCTCTGGCCAGAAATTTGCTGACCTCATCACTGATCCCTGTCCTAGCATGACTGCTTTTGTGCAATGTTCCTGTCAATCACCAATGTTTTCTCCAAGCTAATGGGTGGCAAAGTTTAACAGATTTGACACTTTTGAACCTTCCCCTGTGGATACCTATTAGTTGACCTACTTTAGGACATTCCCCCATAATCTGAAATATATACCTTTCGATATAAGTTGAGGTCGAGAAGGGTTCTATTCAGAAATCATTTCAGGGTGGAATAGTAGAGCAAAAATAAAATTGCCAATAACACTGTTTTTTGAAATTGTCAATAACACTGTTTTTCATACACTCTGTCTGTACAGAGCCATGGTGGCACAGTGGCTATAATGCAAGACTGCAGGCTAAATGACTGCTCACTCCAGGAGTTTGATTCTGAACGGCTCAAGGTTGACTCAGCCTTCCATCCTTCTGAGGTCAGGAAAAAGAGGACCCAGATTGATGGGGGCAATATGCTGACTGAAAAGTCTTCTGTAGAACTTCGGAAATTATCAAAGTTTCTGTCGTGTTTCAATCTACCTCATGTTAATACTTTTAAAAGACCACTCAGTTTGGACCACCTTTAAACCTCCATCTTTTTCATTCCTCAATCTATCCAAAAGTGTTTGTCTTTCCAGCTTCTGATTTAAGACATAGTGATTATATACTACAAGCAAGAGAAAAGAGAGCTCCTGTCATTGGAGGATGAAAAACACATATTTTCTATCTGAAGCTTTCTCTGGGTAGTGTGGAGTAAGAAAAAGGAAAACTAAATCTAAGTATAACTTCAGCCAGTCCCAGTTGAGGGACTAAGGATGAGATGAAGTACTTCGTAGATACTGGAAAACATATTTGGTATAAGTTTGTGGGAATATTGCCTAAGAAAATTATTCTGAATTTATGATAGAATTTGAGAGACCTGGGAAATAAATCGATATTCCCAAGGGTCTGAAAGCTTTTATTACATTTTCAGTAAGTTTTGAACAAACAAGGTTAGTTTATATCCCTTGGGTTCACATTTCAGTATTCTGAATCATTGAATTGGAATCACTGACTGAAACAGAGAGTGAGGCCTGTCTAAACGATCCTTTCTCAAAGCTAAGGGTACAGCTAAGTGTACCAAAAGACAGTGAGTCAGCCACATAAAGTACCATTTTCCAGTCCAGAAACTGACAGAAAAAACATGTCACATATTTCAGGAGGACAACGAGTGCAGCTGTCCTGATCATTTAATGAGAAAAGGAATTGGTGGGTCCCCCTAGGTTTTCTTTTCTTTCCCATTGAGTGCTACCTGAGAAGAAGTGCTGGGCCAGAGATGGTATGTGTAGGAGAGGACTTAGAACAGGTTGTCCAGCCAACCTATGGCCGGTATGAAGGCATGAAGGTACTGCATATCTGTTTATTTATTTAGCATATGGCACATGTTAGCCAGGGATCACCAAGGTGGCTGGCTGCCTCTGTGGAAGGATTTTTTTCAGGTGGTATTATTTTTAACCATGGGATGCCTGAATGCTGGAAGGCAACCAGAGAAGACTCCCTTCTTGTCCCTTCGTAGTTTATTCACTCATGGGAATCAAACTGCTGAGCTGCTAACCTCAGTGGTGCACAGGCCCTTCATCTTACCACATGAGCTACCGCCTGACCTGTCGTTCCAGTGATTTCTGGATAAAAGTTTAGCACAGTCATGAAAAAACATTAGATCCTCCTCAAAAACTGACTTGTCAGCTAACAGATGATGAGGGAAAGTCCTGAGGTGGGTGGCATAGTCAAAAACAAGAGTGTCACCCTTGACTAGCCCTGCAAGTGTATGGCGGCAAATGGCTGTGGAATGGGCAAAGTGGCACCAGTACTTCCCACAAAGTAACATTAGATCTTTCTCTGTCCTTTATTGGCAGATGTAGTTGAAAATCTGTGATGAAAGCAGCAATACACAGCCGGAAGAAGGCAGCTCCCTTTCACAGTTTAAATCAAGCTTCTGGGTAATATTAGCTCCAAAGAATGCTAGTCCTATTTTTTAAATATGTGTCTGACATTTTTTCAGAAGAGCATTGCGTAAGGCCCTTTTTCAGGGTCTCCTGCAGTCCAGGCCACAGTGGCTATAAGGGTCAATACCCAAAGAACAGAGGATGAAACAGGCCTGCAATAACACAAAATAACAGTAGTGCAGGGGTGCCTGCTGGGGGTTCACAAGGAATTCAGGAGAGCCCCTAACTAAGATTCTGTGCAGTTTGGAGAACCCCCCAAATCTCACTCCTGGCTGGCCACACCCACCCTGCCCCTCCCCTCCCTTCCCAGGAGTCCCCATGTGGCCCATTTTGGATGCAGGTAAGTGCAGGGCACACACAGAGGCTCAGGGAGGGAGAAAAATGGGCCTTCCAGAAGTTCAGGAAGGCTGGAAATGGGCCTGAGCCTCTGGAGCCCAGGGAGGGCAAAAATGAGGCTGACTAGGTCACACCCACCATGGCCACGCCCACCCAGCAGCCAGGCAGAGAACCTTTTATTAACATTTTTGAAGCCCACCCCTGCAGTAGTGGGATAGATCTCAATCCCTGATCTCATCACCAAGTATATGAAGCAAACTAGATCTGATCTATGCAAAGGTTCTGTCAGCAGAAGAGGGAAAATATTACTTTGAAACTTGAAAAGCTGAAAATGACTTGGCTGCCCTTGCTCAGAGCCGGGAATAAGATGAAGGCAATACCTTGAGGACATGGCATGACTCCTCTCTTCCCACCCTGCCCATTGTTGTCAAATGTTTACGATGCTGGAAGATTTCAGGTTAGACCCTAATTAATGGCTATTGTTGGACTCACAGGCGAATTTAAAAAGTGATGTTACCTGTATGTCACCTACGGCTACATTCCTTTTAACATCATAACGTATGAGGAAATCTCCATCTAGAAGAGTTTGTTCAGAGTCGGGGGTTTTCCTTTGTTGACTTAAGGTTGGTTTAAATGAAATATGAGCCTGAACATTAAAGACAAATAAAATCATCAGTCAAATCATCAGTAACAATACAACCGTGCTTTCTTGTTAAGGAGCTTAAAGAGTTTTGGGTCAAATCCAGCCACATACCTTGGTCTCCTCCTGTGTCTTTATGAGAGCATCACTTACTTCATTGTTCAAGAAGCTGCTTTCTGTTTCTAAGAAGGATATGCCTTGTGGCTCAAAGATGTGAGTATCAATCTAAGCATAAGCAAAAGCAAAAGATGTGATTGGGTCCTACCTTCTAAAGATGACCTGGTCATGACAGGTGGACAAAACTGTTAATGGAGGTTTTTATTACCTGAAAGTCTTCCACCAGTTGTTTGGGTTTGACTTTGATGATCAATTCATATTTCCCTAGCTTTCGATCAAGTAATTGCTCATAATTCAACTCAAAGTTAACTTTACTTCCTGCTGCAACATTAATTGAAACACTAAACTTTTCCAATTTTCTTCCAGCTGATCTATAAATGAAAAAAGTATAACGTAGGTACTCTGTTCCTTCTAAGTGCTTGCAAACCTGCTGCTTGATAATTTTTGCTATGATTTCTGCAGATGGCTGGTAGTTTCTTAATCTACTTTCCCCCCTCTTTGAAAGATCAAAACAGCATTGTCTCTTCTCCAATCTTGTGGCACTTTCCCTGTACTCCAGCAATTCTCAAAGATTACAATCAGTTCTGAGATCACATCTGCCAATTTTTTTTTAGCATCCAGAGACTAAATTCACTCACAGCAGCTAAATGTTCTGTCACCAGTTCCTTACCTATTTTAATCACTATTTCTCTTCTGCCCTCCCTCTCTGCTCTTTCTCCTCATAGGACAGAACCCTTTTTGGGGGGCTATTTTTGGCATTCATGATAAGTTTCAGATTATCCATAGGCTTCCTGAGACATCTTTAAAAATTCAAGATGGCTTGCATGGTTTATTACTTTACTACATGTATTTTCTTATATAAGGCTTTAATGCTTAAACCCTCTGTCTGCATGTGCCAAGAAACAATGGATCATATGTACTGGGTGGGTCTGGTTAAGAAAAGACATCCGCTTAAAATCCAAACTTGGGAAAACTTCTTGTACTTACTTGACAATTCCAGCACTCTGACCTCGTGAAATGGCGGAGTCATACTGAGCTTGAGCGGCTTTTTTCTCCTTGATTATTCCAGGGTATTTTTCTCCATCTATGGTCCTTCAAAATAGATGTTTCAAAGAATTCAGAAAGGTCCACAAAAAGAAAATGAAAACACACTGATAGTAAGATACTTTATGAAGTGAAAGAAAATAAAATCCTACATTACTGGATTGAATGCAATTTCATTTTAATCATACTTTAGAAGTAGGAACTTTTGAAGTGTTGATGGGAAATAGTCATCTGGGGTGGGGGATTGCATTGTCTTCCTTTATCAATGTAATTTCTCCCAGTATGGTTCCTTATCAGGAACCAATCAGTTGTGGAAGTAGGGTTGTACAGACAAATTCCAATACTGAATAATTCTTGTGATTACACTTTAATCAATCAATGTTATTTTGCTTTGAATGAAAAGTTTCTACCAGATGAGGTCTGTATTCAATGGGTTCAACTGTTCTGAAAATATTCCCCAATTTTACATAGGTAAATGGTTTGTTTTTGCAGTAATTTGATCCATATTTGTGATTTTAGTCACGAATCGCATATTTGGGGAGTTGTATGCTGATTTGGTAATGGGAGTGCCTTATAAATCTCGAAAAACAAGTAAGTAAAATTCAGATCTGTCTTATCATTTCAAATGTTGAGCCATAGTTTCAGTGGATTTCCTACCTCAATTGCTCCCATAGATGAGCTCGTAAAAAGGCTTCTTAAAAGGAGTTATGGGTCTCAGGTCACCTACCATGAGATTTATTATATAGTAGAATTTTGCCAATCTTGACATTCTTACTAATGTTGTAAACAAGAAATAAGGATATATCCTGTGGGCCATTGCTTTTCTTAACTTGTAAGGTTGAATAAGATTGTTGTATGTATTTACTCCTTTCTTTCTATAGTTCTCAGTGGGAGATTGCTGCCAAATTCTGAAATGTTCCATCTTTTAAAATGCCTAAATGGTGCTTACATTGTGAAGTTTGTGATGAAGGCTTTCTTGGGTAGTTCCACATCAAAAAGAGCCTCCTTAGATTCATTTGCCCGGTTGACAATTCTGCTGGTGATGACTGTGTAGGCATACCGTGACATGACTTTGCAGTCAATGTGCAGGCTGTAGATTTCAATGGCATTCTAGGGGAAGAAAAGAGAAAGTGCCTACTGGTTTCTTTGCTGGAAATTGTTACTAACAATTGAACAAAGGCTAAATGTTATTAGCAGCAAATGCCACACAGAATCACATAAATCAATTTTTGAGATCATAATTTGCTGTAATAGAAATGCAAGAATGTTCTTTTAAATTATTAAACTCTTTTTATATTGTTTGAATATATTATATAAAATACTTACATGCTACTAAAACTCTTGTTATGACCTTTCCCTGGGTGAAGGTGAATTATAAGGCAAGAGTTTTTGAACCAAGCTTCCTCAAATTGGCTAATTGACAGAATGAATCTAATGCAGGGGTCTTCAAACTTGACAGCTTTGACTTGTGGACTTCAACTCCCATAATCCCTTCTCTAGTCATGTTAGCTCAGGAATTCTAGGAGTTGAAGTCCACAAGTCTTAAACTTGCCAAGTTTGAAGACCCTTGGTCTAATGGAATGAAATTTGAGGAAGTTATGGCTGCTTCAGCCGCAGGCAGGCAGGCAGATAATGACAGAATGACAGGGAGGGAGGGAGGGAGGGAGGAAGAAAGGAAAGAAGGATATCCCAATCAGACATGAGTTGTCTAGTGTTATATAAAATATGATACTTTGCTGAAAATAATGCTGTTGTAAAGATTTGATTTGGTTTGCTGTGAGCAGCCCACCAACCTCCCAATTTTGACATGTTCAGTACAGAACCTTTTTCTGGCACACATAGAAGCAAATTCCATAAATATCTGCATCTGCCTAAAAGAACATCTACCCATCCACCCACCCTGCAAAATGGGTTGCTCTGTTAGGATATCCTAAATCAGCCACAAGAGACATCTTCATTTTATTCTTCCTTAAGAAAGGGGCACCTCAGCGTTTACACTTGTATTTTGTATTTGTCCTAAACATTAAAGAATAAAGTAAGAAATCAAGATTGATTTTGGCAAACTGTTAAGCAAAAATATGTTACAGAATACAAGGAGAAACAGACTCAGTTGTTTGCTCCTCACAGCATTTATATCTTAACAGATAACAGATAATCAGAGTTGGAAGGGAACTTATAGGTCATCTAGTCCAACCCCCCGGCCAAGCAGGAGACCCTACACCATTTCTGACAAATGGCAGTCCAATCTCTTCTTGAAGGTCTCAAGTGATGGCACTCCCACAACTTCCGAAGGCAAGCTGTGCCGTTGGTTCTCACTGTCAGAAAGGTTCTCCTTATTTCCAGGTTGAATCTCTCCTTGTTCAGTTTCCGTCCATTATTCATTGTCTGGCCTACAGGTGCTTTAGAAAATAGATTGACTCCTTCCTCTCTGTGGCAGCTCCTCAAATATTGGAAGACCACTATCATGTCTCCCCTGGTCCCTCTCTTCACTAGACAAGCCAAGCCCAGTTCCTGTAACCATTCTTCATATGCCTTAGTCTCCAGTCCCCTAATCATCCTGGTTGCTCTTCTCTGCACTTTTTCTAGAGTCTCAACAATTTTTTGATAATGTGGTGAACAAAACTGGATGCAGAACTCTAGGTGTAGTCTTAATAAGGCTTTATAGAGTGGTATTAGTACCTTGCTTGATCTTGATTTTATCCCTATGTTAATCAACTTAGGATTGCATTAGCTTTTTTGGCTGCTGCTGCACACTGCTGGCTCATATTTAGCTGGTTGTCCACTAAGACTCCAAGATCCCTGTCACAGTTACTGCTATTGAGCCTGGTTTCACCCAGTCTATATGTGTACTTTTGGTTTTTCTTGCCTAAGTGTAGGACTTTACTTTTCTCTACACTGAATTTCATTTTGTTAGATACAGCCCAGTGTTCTAGTCTGTCAAGATCCATCTGGATCTTGAGCCTATCTTCTTGGGTGTTAGCTATTCCTGCCAACTTAGTAAGTTTCCCTTCTACTCCCTCATCTAAGTCGTTAATGAAGATATTGAAGAGTACTGGACCTAAGATGGAACCTTGTGGCACCCCACTGCTTATTTCCCTCCATGTAGACTTAGACCCATTAAGGACTACTCATTGAGTATGGTTTGTCAGCCAGTTGTGAGTCTATCTAGTGGTGGTGCTATCTATTCCACTTTTTTCTAGTTTACTAAAAAGTAGGTTGTGGTCTACTTTGTTGAATGCCTTGCTGAAATCTAAATATATTATGTCCACAGTGTTTTTCTGGTCTACTAATTTAGACCAGAACACTAGGTTGAAGAATGAAATAAGATTGGTTTGGCATGATCTGTTCTTAACAAACCCGTGCTGACTGCTAGTTATTTTATTTGTTTCTAGATGTTGGCAGATCTGTTTTTTAAAAATTATCTTTTCCAGTATCTTCCCAGGTATTGATGTTAGGCTGATTGGTCTATAGTTTCCTGGATCTGTTTTTTTTTTCCTTTTTAGAAGATGGGAACCACGTCAGCTCTTTTCCAGTCCTCTGTTAGTTGCTCCAGGATTTTTGAAAGATATGGTGCAGTGGTTCTGAGATGACCTCTGCCAGCTCCTTTAGAACTCTGGGATGTAATCCATCAGTCCTGGTGATTTGTGTTCATCAAGATCAGACAGGTGTTCTCTTACTATTTTTTTGCTTATTTTAACTTTTATTTCTGGTCTGTCTTTTACAGTTATGTTTTTGGTGGGTTGAGCTATAGTTTCTTTTTGCATGAAGACCAATGCAAATAATGAGTTAAGCAGTTCTGCTTTGTGTTACCTGTTACTTCCTTGCCATCTTCTCTCTTTATCTTGCCAGCACATGACTGGCTGCTTTTGGAAGTAAACCAATGTCAGATATTAGCCATTCATGTTTATAGAATACTTTAGAATAGGGTTTATACAGGTAGCCCTCAATTTACAACCACAATTGGGACTGGAATTTCGGTTGCTAAGTGATGCAGTCATTAAAGGAATCATCCCATGACCAGGTGCAATTTTTCAATCATTTTTACCATAGTCATTATACAGATCTGGCTTCCTCCTTTGACTTCGGTTGTTGGAAAGTAGCTGGGAAGTTACTGGGAAAGTAGCTGGGAAGTTACTGGGAAGTCACAAATTATAGTCATGGGGTGATGGGGTGGTGCAATAGTTATAATTTCAATAACAAACTATAAGTCACTTTATAAATTTATAAACTATAAATGAATAGTTGTAAGTGAGGACTACCTGTACAGAGTTTGAACTGAGTCTCTTTTAGAAAGTTAAAATCTTATTAATGAATTCATTTCCAGCTTCTGATTTAAGACATAGTGATGATATACTACAAGAAGAGAAAGGAGAGCTCCTGTCGTTGGGGAAGAAAAAACACATTGAGGCAAAAATTTCAAGCAATGGAGCCTGGGCTGCTCTTAGGCTCTGAAGAGCTGCCACATGTCAAGAAAACAGATTTGCTTTGTTGAAATCTTGCATTACTTTAGAGGAACTTGTAATAAAGCAAGTTCTGAAGTCTGCTAGCTCTCGAGAATGGATCCAAACTAAGGGTGATTCCAAACTGCTAAGATCCCAGCAAAATATCCTTATCCATTTTGACAACAGATAAAGCTCTCATTCCACAAACTGAGGAGATGGGAGTTTAACTCCAGCTGTCTGATACGCTGAACTTAGAATCAAAGAGTTAGAACCATTTTGGTCCCCGAGGTTAATCCGCCGTTTGGTGGGGGAATCCAGATTGAAATACCTCTTTTGAGCACCTCAAATGAGGTGTTGCCACTTCTCTGATAGATAAATTCCCCTATTAATCTGCTCTTATTAACTTTCAGTTACATCTTTATACTAATTATACATATATCAAAATACAGTCACATGTGCCATTTCTAAACAACATCTTCAGTTACAGTGCAAATTGTCTTCCCTTGTCTAAGTCAAGTTCTTCTCAGTTAGTTATTTTTTCTCATTTTCAACCTGTAACATTAATTGAATGATTAAAAATTCAGGCATGCATTTTTTCATATTTCAATGAACAATTAAACATCAAAGAAGGCAAGTACCTGATGGATAACAGCATCCGTTAATAGAATTTGTGAAGACAAAGCCAGCCAGAGAGTGAACAATTGCTTTTCCATTTTGGAAATGACAGAACCATAGAGGAGAATTTATTTATTGGTTAGTGAAAGTTAATGAACAACTACTATTTGGTAAAATTTGAGAAACCAGTAGACCCAATATTTACACAGAGATGTAAAGTACAATTAACCACTTCCTGTATAATGCAACTTCTTCAAAGTCTTACTAAGTTTTCAAATATTGCTACCTGGTTTAACTTTTATTGATTGGTTCTTAGGTACATTAATGCTACCCTTCAATCAATTGGACATTGATCTTGTAACTCCAAAATTTAAAGTTGAAGGCAGGGGTGAACCTTCATTATCTTAAAAAATGTTTTCTTAAATATTTCAGAAAAATAAGTAACCTGTGAGCAATATCAAGAACTGTAGCACTTTTCCATACAAAATTTATCAAATATGGCTGGTTTTTATTAGAAGTCATGGTGTTTTGATTGTCAACTATTTGCATTGGGTAGATATGAATTATAATGGTGATGTTACTATAACTCACACATTGTCTGGGTTCAATCTTAGGATAGGTGATGTTACTATAACTTACACATTGTCTGAGTTGAATCCTTGGATTGGGCTAAATCCTAGGATTTTGAAGTAACCACTGCAAAATTCAGATCAATAAAATAAGTCCATATTTTCTATAAACTCTGTTTTTGAGTGTTTGATTCTTTTATCTTTATTGTTGGATATGAGGAAATGTTTTCTCATTGGTAAAAACCAATCAATGATTTCAATGGTTAATTCTGCTATTATCTACCATTACTTTTTTTTTTCATTTTAAGTCATGACTGCAGTTAATTTGCTACCATGCTGGCAAGAAATGATCTGTACTCTGATAAATATCAGAATAATAGAGTTGGAAGGGACCTATCCTCTGTCAAGCAGGAAATCTTATACCATTTCAAACAAGTGGTTGTCCAATCTCTTCTTAAAAACTTCCAGTGATGAAGCATCCCACAACTTCTGAAGGCAAGCCGTTCCACTAACTGTCAGAAAATCATTACTCTTTCTACATCCTGAAAAGGAATTAAGTTCTTTAACTGCAGCCAGGCCTTCTAAGTGATTGAATAATTATGTCTGCTTTTGAATAATTGTGTCTGCTGGGATTTCATCCAGCATGTAAATACAAATTAATAAATATTACCATGTTGGACCTCAAAAAAATGTTGGCGGATGTATTCTCTCTCCCCACCCTCCTTCTTTCCCTTCTCTCCATCCTTTTATATGCCCCACATATTAATTCCTAACTGGGCAAGCTAAATCTACACTCTTCATCCAAAACAATTATATTATGATAATTTTGTTCTTTTTAAATGAGACTTGCTACAGTTGCTGCTCTACTTAATTTCTTGGTATTCTTTTAAAATACTGCCTATGCTCAGAAGAATGAATTCTCTAACAAGCAGTCTTAGTGAGTGGAACTCTCCAATATAAATTAAAATAGGGAATGAATAAATGAACAGCAGGAGAGCCTTCCTCATTTTGGGGGAAGTGAGTCAATCCAAGGCAATGATAAGGGGAGGAAGGGGAGAAATAAAATACCAGATAATCAGCAAATTCTGGTTGGGTTATCAGAGGCAAAAAGCATTTCCATTCTATCACTAATGTACAAGAGAGGCTGGATTAATAAATATCTAGGCTATGGAGCAACTGGAAATGAGCAACTCTGGAAATGAGCAACTCTAATGTTTACATATAGACTCCAGCAATGTCCTTCTGGCACAAGATTGGGCAGGAAATATTTTTTGTCAATAGAAGAGAATATCTGTATTGTAGAGTTGGACTGTGGGGTCCTTAGTGCTCTCTGAGCTTGGTTGTTTGCTTGTAGACATTTCGTTACCCTACTAGGTAACATCATCAGTGGGGTATGCTCCTGTTCAGTGGTGGGATTCTAATAATTTAACATCCGGTTCTCTGCCCCAATGATTTCTTCCAACAACCAGTTCACCAAACTGCTCAGAAACTTAACAAATGGTTCTCCCGAAGTGGTGCAAACTGGCTGAATCCCACTTCTCCTGTTTGTATATACAAGAGAGAGTTGGCAGAGAGTTCCAAGGTCTGGAGATTCCGTGGTTATGGAAACAGGTTGGTGAAGGCAGAAACAGAACAGGTTCAGCTCAGGAGGAAAAAGAGTTTACAGTCAGAATCAGTTTGGAAAGTCATCTTAGTTATTTTTTGTTCAGAAGTTTTATTGTTTTCTGTTTTCATTTTCATATTTGTGTCATATTAAAAACATTCTGTAAATATTGCAATAGTGCTCCTTGATCTCCTTGGTAGATGGTTACATGCCTAGTAAAGTATATACCTCAGTATAGCTTACAGAACTCAAGTTTGATTGTGTGAATGGATGGCTCTCTACAGTTAAATGCAGTAGTTAAAAGTATTGGACTTGTAGCAGAAGAAAACTAGTTCTAGTCCTTTTTTAGGCATAGCAGGTGATTTTGAGGTAAACATTCTTTCTAAGTCCTAGACTGAAAGGTTACTGGACTAGTGTAGTATATTAAATGAAGAGACTTCATCTTGTGCTTTATCATGAAGGGGAAAAAAATCTATTCTTTCCTCAAAAGATGATTGACTCGAGTCTTCATTCCCCACAACAAAGTGTGTAACACTCCTTTATTCTGGTGCTCATGGTTTGGGAGATTATAAGAGGAGCGTAAATTATGTTTTCAGTGGTTTAGTGCCCTAAAACAAATCACTGTATAATCATTGAATCTAATCAAACACACAAAGTCTTTGCATGAAGAGTGAACTCAGTATGTTCTAGTCCTGGAAACAGTGTCTGAATTTGCTGCATACCCCACCCTAAAAAGATAACATACAAAGAATTAAAATAAAATAATGTAAATAAAAAGAATAAAAAGAAAAAAGCACAGTTTAGAAACAATCTTCCTACTCCTTTTTAAAATCGAGTAACTATATAAGCTGACAGCGCCATCATGAGGCTCTTACTAGTAAATTAGCAAGTGATTAAATTTAGTAAATATTTTAATATAAAGTAGTGCACTAAAATTTCCAGGATAATTCAGAACCAGGAAGCAAACCCTGAAATTCCCCTTCTAGATTTGAACAAAGGCTTCTGGGTTATATTCTACAAAACCTGCTAAATTTCCTCCAAAACTTTATTTGAGAAAGAAGGAAAAAACTGTTTTAAACCTGAAAGTGGTAAAAAAAATCTCTTTGCCGTGGGCTCTGGCATGAGACAAAGGAAAGGACATACAATTAAGAAAAATTTCTGGGGAAGTTCCTGTCATGGGCAGAGAGACACAAGGAAAATGTCTGAGGAAACTGCATGGAGTAATGACTTCACCCATTGTCCATATGGAACAAGTGAGGTTGATGGAAACTGAGATACAGTGCCTAGCAACTATAATCTGAATCCATCTCATATGCTAGTAGATACCAAGAGGGTGGGAGGGAGAAAAGGAAGGAAGGAAAAGAAAGAAAGAAAGCAACTGAGTAGACTCAGAAGCAAATCAATTCTTACTCCTAATGTAATTTTGTCTTAATACAGGCATTGCTTGTTTTCATATATTTACATGAAAATTCAAGTGTATGAGACCATATATATCAAAATATGTTAAAAGAGAGTTCATGCCGTGATTCTTTACCGTATTGAAATTTGCTCCAGACTGCTGTGATTCTTAGATGTCATCAGAGATCAAGAGTTGAGCTGATTTATTTCCAAGCACATCTCTGTGTTTTTAATCATACAGTATCTGTTGCTGTGAAGAGCCTTTGGAGAGTTTGAAGGTAAGCAAACCTCTTAGTGATGGAAAATTTCACAACTTCTCTGCCTTCTCAGTCCAACTCCTCATTTTATGCACTGCAGAGGTTTAATTACTGTAGCACCTATGTTTTAAAGAATCCACAACTCTTTAAAAATACAACAAAGGGGCAAGAAACTGACAGCTCTGCAGCTGCTCTCTTAAAGACACCAATCTTTGAAAACTCAGTGTACAAATAAGAACATTATCAAAAGGAAGGACATGAATTTAATGCTGCTTTCTGCACTCAAATTGGTCAGGTAATAATCTTTAAGAAATTCCATTTGTCTGCAAGTGGGACCAAAAAATAACAAAGTGTTATCTTAAAATACGTTTTCTTAAATATTTCAGAAAGGTAAGTAACCTGTGAGCAATATCAAGAACTGTAGCACTTTTCCATACAAAATTTATCAAATATGGCTGGTTTTTATTAGAAGTCATGGTGTTTTGATTGTCAACTATTTGCATTGGGTAGATATGAATTATAATGGTGATGTTACTATAACTCACACATTGGGTTCAATCTTAGGATAGGTGATGTTACTATAACTTACACATTGTCTGAGTTAAATCCTTGGATTGGGCTAAATCCTAGGATTTTGAAGTAACCACTGCAAAATTCAGATCAATAAAATAAGTCCATATTTTCTATAAACTCTGTTTATGAGTGTTTGATTCTTTTATCCTTATTGTTGAATATGAGGAAATGTTTTCTCATTGGTAAAAACCAATCAATGATTCCAATGGTTAATTCTGCTATTATCTACCATTACTTTTTTTTTTCATTTTAAATCATGACTGCTGTTAATTTGCTACCATGCTGGCAAGAAATGATCTGTACTCTGATAAATATCAGAATAATAGAGCTGGAAGGGACCTATCCTCTGTCAAGCAGGAAATCTTATACCATTTCAAACAAGTGGTTGTCCAATCTAAGTTCTTCAACTGCAGCCAGGCCTTCTAAGTGATTGAATAATCATGTCTGCTTTTCTCAGAACTGGGATTTCATCCAGCATTTAAATCTAAATTAATAAACATTACCATGTTGGGCCTAAAAAAAAATGTTGACGGATGTATTCTCTCTCCCCACCCTCCTTCTTTCCCTTCTCTCCATCCTTTTATATGCCCCACATATTAATTCCTAACTGGGCAAGCTAAGCCTACACTCTTCATCCAAAACAATTATATTATGATAATTTTGTTCTTTTTAAATGAGACTTGCTACAGCTGCTGCTCTACTTAATTTCTTGGTATTCTTTT